GCCAGGGATGCTGGTGGGCTAAATATCTCCCCTCAGCCCCTGGGATTCCCCCCCTAGACCCACAGGGTTTCAACCGGGTTGGGTGGCAGAGCGTCCACCCCACGGGCCACTGGGAGCGCTCGGCCAGATCCCACGGCAAGTCGGATCCTGGTCTGGGGCTCCCATCCTCACCATTTCCCCCCTTTCTCTCTTCCAGGAGAAGATGGGTCTGGGTTCTGAGGGGACGCCCCAGGGGGCCGAGACTTCAGCGGACCTCTCAGGGGACGGCAGCAGACCTCTCAAGGGAAGCGGGGGACCCTATTTGGGAGGCGGCGGAAGGAGGCAGAGGTGTCCCCAAAAAGCTCGTCGATGATGGCGAGCAAAGCCTGGACTGGAGGAAGGACATGAAACGGACGAAGATCGAGATCACCATTGTCCTCGTCAAGAGAGAAGCCATCCTCCCTTCGTCAATCTGATCCTGAGACGTCCACCTACATCTTCTGTCTCTCTGAGCCCTGGGGTGAAACTTTGCCCCCCCAATGGAACACCCTTATTTTCCCAGGATACTCGATTTCGAAGAACAAAGCTCCCGGGAGGAGTCAGTGGGAGGCTCATCTGGGCTGGGAGTTCAGACGGTCACGGTCAAGACCACCAAGGAAACTTCTAACGTGGCTCGAGTAGAAAGCATCTCGACTGGCCCACATAATTTTCATACCTCTCTGTTTTATTGTAGCGATAGATCTTTTCGGTTTTGTAACTCAAGTGAATATACCACACTGTTGTATATACGGTCTTTAAAATCCTCTTGTTCATGAAAGCCCCTTCTGTTATTTTTTAAAATAACATTGGTAATGGTGCAGCTAACAACTCTTGTAAATAAATAAATAAAAGTCTTTTCAAGAACATACATATGTTTTTCTTCTGATCAGCAATCATTCTGTTTTTATTTAAAGTCAGTCGCTTGCCATATTGGGCTTAGGGCTATATGTAAAGACATTTTGAAGCCCCTGTTTCATGAAGTTTCTTTACACCTGCTCATCTCCATAAAATGTATTATCCTCAATTTTGTACTAGTCTGCACCACAGATTTTACTCTCTGCTCCTACCCGTAAAAATCAAGCAGCCACCATTTAATATAAAATTGCAATACACTTGCATTATACTTTCCTGACTTCTGGTGCCACTGAATGTCGTGATACAGGAGATCAGCATTTCCTACAAGCATTAATTCACACGTGATAATTGTGTTGACCAGTTACAGCAAAAACCACCAAGTCTTGTGACATCTTAATCACTTACAAATTCATTATGTATTAGGTTCTGCTACATTGATGTGTTAAGTTTTCCAGCATAAAAATCAGAAAGTAGGCACTAAAGCCAAAGAAAACCAAATACAGTGGTGCCCCGCTAGATGATGATCTCACAAAATGACGAATCCGCACGATGACTTTTTGCAATCGCCGTTGTGCTTCGCAAAACAGTCTTTCCTATGGGCGATTTACGCTGGACGATGTTTCGGTCCGTGCTTTGCAAGATTTTTGGGGGGGGGGACCGATGCTTTTCAAGATGACGATTTTCTTGGTCCGTGCTTTGCAAGATGGCTTTTTTTTGGGACCGATGCTTTTCAAGATGACGATTTTCACAGACAGGTCTGCGACTCGCAAAACGGGTGGTTTTGGGACCGATGCTTCGCAAGACAGTGATTCTAGCAGCTGATCAGCACTTCACAAATTGGCTTCCCTATGGACGATTTTTGGAAAACAAGGACTATTTTCCCCATTGGAACACATTAAATGGATTTCAATGCATTCCAATGGGGAAACGCTTTTCGCAAGATGATGTTTTCACAAGATTTCAATGGAACAGATTAACATCATCTTGCAGGGCACCACTGTACAAGACTTTTAGATTTTATTTCTCAATCCCAGGGAAGGAAAATAAGAACTTTTAGGGTTGCAATCTATATTGGAGATGGAAAACTAGGGCTAAACCTAAATATTCATTCAATTAGACTCATGCACTGATTCTACCTGAGGCTGGCAATCAGATTTAGCCCCACATGATCATAGTGGTCAAAAGATGTGGCCAGCATTCTAGTCCACATATGTGAGTCAGTACCTGGTTTTGAAAAACTACTGGGGGTACCTGATATAAACACCTAACTTAATATACTGAATGTGTATTAAGGCTTCCTGTGTCATCTCTAATGTAAGCACGGGAGCCCTTAAAATTTGAATACACAAAATAATCAGAAAACTCTGCATACATAATAAAATTGTAGTTAACCATTAATTCCCCCCTCATCCCTTTCTATATTTTGTCTAAGAACCACCACAGGGGAAATTATTTATTGGCAAGACACCTAAATATTTGAGGCAATCCATTCTCCTAATGGTAAAAAAGTGACTTTTCCCGTTCTTAGAATATCTCTGAGGAATTTGACCTGCATGTAAAAGCAAAAACAGTTCCATTCCTTCCCCCAGTTGCTCTGAGTGTGCCCAATCTATTGAATATTGACGGTGACCTTAAAAACAGAGAGATCTTTTGCACTGAATTCTTTCTACAGGACCAACTTCCATGCAAACACAGGCAGGAATGGGCTGCAAGGCGGTCTTTCATGACAACCCAGGGACCCAAATATGGGAAAAATAAATAAATGATCTGACAAGCTTTTCATTAATTGAGAAAAATATAGGGCTGGCTTATATGTAGCCTAATATATATTATATATACAGTATATAATCTTTTATGGTCACTGATCCTGACCATCCTTAAGGGGGAGCTTCCCCCCCAATTATGAAGGGAAGCAGAAGAGGCAGTTGCCATGGCAACACACAGCCCCCCCCTTCCATTCCCTACTGAGGCACCAACTCCAGCATCCAATGGGATGGAGGCGGGCAAAAGGAGGTGGAAATAAGTTGGATAGGTAGGTTTGCGACCTAGAAGCCGCACTGACCCCCCCTCAACCGAGAATAGCAACTAGTCGGTTAGCTGATGAAGAACACCTGGGCAGACTTCTACCCGCCAGAAATTACAAGACTACATGCCCCGAGAGCCTCTACGGCAAGGGCTCCCTCCCATTGGCCCTCCGGAGCCACGTGGCCCAGATCAATCACGCACGCAAGCGCGCATCCGACACCTTCCCCCCCTCCCCGAAGGCCGCCCAACCCGTCTTCCCGACTAGCCAAAGCACGGCCGACCCCATTGGTTGAGAACCCCGGGCCAAGAGGAAGGGAAGAAAGCGCAGACTCGCTCCCCGCGGTGATTGACAACCACGGCTCCCCAATCCCTTCCCGAGTTATCCTAGCCTATCAAGGGAGCCACCGTCATTCTCCACTTTTCCACCAATAGGCGTCGGAAGGCGGGACTTGGTGCGTGCGTGTGGGGGGGCGATGCATCTCCTCAGACGACCTCGGTTTTTCTGAACAGCCCCCCCTTCCTCAAAATAAATAGATCGATCACCCGCACGCGCGGGGAAAGCCGGTTGGGGGCGCGCGGGGGGGATAGTTGAAAGAGGGGGGGGCGCGACCTCGTCCCGGTTACCTGAGCGGGTCTCTAGCCTCGCGCTTCGGCGACCGTTGGAGCCGTTGGTTCGTCCCGCGGCGGCGCTCGCGCTGCTCTTCTTCGCTCCCTTCCCGCTTTTCCCGCCAGCCCCAACAGAAAATGGCGGGTCCCAGGGCCAGGCTATTTAACCATCATGCAACGGGGCTGAAGTGGGAGCCCGAAAAAAAAAAAGGAAAGGGAAATAAAAAAGGCGGGAGAAGAAGGAGGAGGAGGGAAGGGGAAGGGAGGCGGCGGGTCGGCTGAGGTGAGGCGGGCGCCTGAGGAGCCATCTTGTGGGAAGAGGAGCAGCAGCAGCAGCGCCCTGACAGGCGGGCGGGTCCTGAGGCGGCGATTAAATAAACCCGCCGGGACAGAAAACCAGAACGACGCTCAAGAATAATCATCCTCTTACAACTGGAAAAAGCGGGAAGAATTAGAATAGTTCTCCAATTAGCGAGGAAATAGAGAGCGATGCTTCAAATAATGGGAAAAACTAGAGTGAGGCTCCAAATAACAAGAATAATGATCCTCAGAGAACTGGAAGAATGGGAAAAACCAGAATAGTTCTCCAAACAGCAAGGGAATAAAGAGCGATGCTTCAAATAATGGGAAAAATTTGGAGTGAGGCTCCAAATAACAAGAATCATCTTCTTAGAACTGGAATAAGCGGGAAGAACCAGAAAACTGTAGTTCTCCAAATAGCAAGGAAATATAGAGCAATGCTTTAAATGGGAAAAACTAGAGTGGCTCCAAATAATGGGAATAATCATTTTAATCATCCTCTGAGAACTGGAAGAGTGGGAAAAGCCAGAATGGTGCTCCAAATGGCAGGGAAATACAGAGTGATGTTTCAGATAATGGAAAAACTAGAGTGATGCTCCAAATAAAAGGAATAGCCACCATCTTGAACCTGAGAGGTGGAAGAACCAGACCAGTGCTTGCCATAATGGAAATCTAGAGTGATGTTCTAAATAACAAGAGTAATCATAATTTGAATATGGACGAATCTGAGTGATGCTGCGAATAGCAGGAGTAATAAACTTGGAACTGCAGAGCTGGAAGAACAAAAGTGGTGCTTCAAATAACGGGAAATCTAGAGTGATGATCCAAATAACAGGAAAAATAAATGAAAAATTATTGTGGCAGGTTTAACCACATAACAGGGCAAGTTGGTGTTTTTTTTTTTAGGGAGGTTTTGGAAAATCAGAAATTAAAATAAGGTGCTATTTCTTCAACCACATAACAGGGCAAGTTGGTGTTGTTTTTTAGGGAGATTTTGGAAAATCAGAAATTAAAATAAGGTGCTGGGTGAAATTGAGCCTGAGCTCTCTAGAAACACAGACAACTAAACTGAAGCTGTTTTACTTTGGGAATATAATGAGAACACGAGATTCGCCGGGAAAGGTTGAAAGTGGCAGGAAAAGAAGACAAAATATGAGATGGTTTGACTCCTTAAAGGAGGCTGCTGCCTTGGATTTATCAAAGTTGAGCAAGGCTGTTGAGGACGACATTTTGACAAGTGCTCTTTCACAGGGTTGCCATGGTCAGAAACAACTGGATGAACATAACAATGCAGTACATTTTGTTGTTTGTTATAACAGTCCTCAGGGTTATATGATGCTCCGTGATCCTTTTGTGGCAGGTCAAACTCATGTAAATACCTGTAAAACAGGTATTCATATTGAGTAACCTTGCAGTTTCACTTTAGAACAAGAACAGCAAATATCTTGCTAAAGAACAAACTTGTCATATCAAATACATATGGAATCCTGATGCCTTAAGTTTCTTTTACAAATTTGCACAGAATTGCCCATGTGAATTATGTCAACACCCTGAAATATTTCTTGTTGGAAGTCTTAAGCAACTCATTATTCTGACTCTTAAGAACTCATAATCGCATCAGAGCTCATAGAGCATACACAATTCATATGCATTGCAGGACTAGGAGTATAGGCTAATGATGTCTTAAATGGGCTGTGTGCCATATGCAGAAGAGTCAAAGCAAAGGAAATACACCTCAGCGATTTCACTGAATTCACTTCAATTTTGCAGCAGAATTCTGTTGTTTTTCTTCAGATATTAGAACACTGGGACTTGTTCCTATTAAGTTTTCTTGAGATCTTGGCCTCTCTATCAATATTTATTTATTTGATTTCTATCCTGCCCATCTAGACCAAGGGTCTACTCTGGGCGGTTAGGGTCTACTTTGGGTGGTTTATATATTATTGTGTTATACTGTTTACATTATAACAATAATTGTGTTATAATGTGATTGTGTTAACTCCTTTTAAAATAAACCTGCATGCCACAAAGCTTTCCTTTACTGAGTGCTCTGGGAGCCTTTGAAGGCCAAGAAGATAAAACATGCTTTAGAAAAACACTTTTTCACTGCTGATGTACCTTTTTTGCAAACATTAATTATAGGGCTTACAACTAAATTTGGATGGAATTAGTGTATTTTGTAATCTAAAGCATGATAAATAGGAATAAATTCCATTTCAGTCATTGGGACATTCTTAAGCATTCTTACGTACTGAGCAGCAAATAATTTTCTGGTTTGTGACATACTGCCCTGTTGACATCTCCACTGCTTGACAGAGGAAGATGAGCTCCAAGTATGGAGTTTGAAGAGCCCATACTGCCCTATTGACATCTCCACTGCTTGACAGAGGAAGAATCTTGTGTGTGTGGTTGTTGTACCATTCCTCCCTCACCAGCCCTTTCCTTGGCACAAGTGGTCATAATGGTTTTTAGTTTGTTCTGGGGAACTTGTAACATCTATGCCGGGGCCTCTTCAGCTGGAGTGGCTCAGGAATGTATGGTGTATGTAACAGATATGGGTTTGCTTCAGCTTATATATCAGGTCCCCTCCAGTGTTTGCTGAAGGGCAGAACAATGTGTGCAATCAGAACTCTTGACACGGACACACTGGCTGAAATCCTGAAGTCACACTAGACAAGGGTGATGGCATCATCAGCTGTGGCAATATTTTGGAAATCCATTTTTTTCTGATTCCATCCCCAAAGGTTTTGAGAACTGCTGATGATGTTACTGGCAGTTATTTCTGCAAATTAAACATCCTCTCATTCCCATGGCTTCCCCATGATGAAAGGAATCCCACATGGGTTTGTTGTAAAAAGTCTTTTACCCTGATCTCCAGAGTCCTAGTCCATCACTCTATCTACACCACACTGGGAATCTTCTTTGCCCAACTCTAAAGTTCCCTCTCCCTCATTGTGACAACCGCCTTGCTGCCCCATGTTTAGCCCTAGGACAGTTCCTCTTCATGCCTTACCCAACCAGATCCCACCCATAATATTACCTCACCATCCTTTTCATTGCTCCACTTCTAGGAAACTGGATCTTTCCAAATGGGGATTATATGATATGAATCCAAAGGTCTCAGCACACACAAAGGTGTATTAGGAATTACAGCCTTTGGCTTTTGGCACTGGCTTCTCCTTGCTGCAGTACACACTGCCCTTGTTTCCCTTGCAGAGTGGAAATTTGAACCCAGGCCTCCTGTGTCCCTACTCCTTCACTCTATCCCAGTGTTTCTCAACCAGGGGGTCATGATCCACAAGGCAGTCAGTCACCTTATATGCATTGTATTTCTTCTTAAACAATTTCTTCCTTAACTTCAGAGCAAGATGTACTGTTTATGTAAGAGAAACACGCTTACAGGAAAAAGAAGCCTCTCATTTGGGAGAAGGGATGACTTTGCCTCATTTAAATGCTGGTTACTTGGCTATTATAAAGGGTGTATATCTAAAAAATGATGGCACCAAATAATGTTTACATGTAGTCAAAGGATATGGCAAGTAGGTTGCTGGTTACTTGGCTATTATAAAGGGTGAATATATAAAAATGATGGTACCAAATAATGTTTACATGTAGTCAAAGGACAGCTGCCACTGCCTCAGCCTGCCATCATTTAACGTGGAACGAAAGCAACTTTGGATTGCTCCGAAGCAGCCCTTAACTGCTGTGGTATGAACATTTTTAAATACTGGCATCCTGTTTAGGTTGCTGGTTACTTGGCTATTATAAAGGGTGAATATATAAAAATGATGGTACCAAATAATGTTTACATGTAGTCAAAGGACAGCTGCCACTGCCTCAGCCTGCCATCATTTAACGTGGAACGAAAGCAACTTTGGATTGCTCCGAAGCAGCCCTTAACTGCTGTGGTATGAACATTTTTAAATACTGGCATCCTGTTGTCATGGCAACTACAGACCAGAGCTGCTAGTAAGCTTCACAGCAGGGCACCAACTTCTTGCTTATTATTTAAGACTTGAGATTTATCTCTTAAATGTTTCATGTACACACCATAAACTGAAAATTATACCAGAGTTTTATAACAGTAAAAATTTTAAACCTAAATTCAAACTGTGCTGGTTAGTCTTCTTTAAAATGAAGGTGTTTGGGGGGACATCGTGCACTGACAAATATGGGAGCAGTCATTAAGTGCTCCACACAAGATGCAGGCAGCATAGCTACCCGTGTCAGTCGCGCAAGCCAGGAGGTAAGGCTGAGGAGCCTGACGCCGAGAGAGGCCCGGAAGGAAAAAACCAGAAATCGGGCCTTCTCGGCGGTGGCTCCTCGCCTATGGAACAACTTACCTCCTGAGATTCGTGCGGCCCCCTCGCTGGGCACCAGAGCTGCTAGTAAGCTTCACAGCAGGGCACCAACTTCTTGCTTATTATTTAAGACTTGAGATTTATCTCTTAAATGTTTCATGTACACACCATAAACTGAAAATTATACCAGAGTTTTATAACAGTACAAATTTTAAACCTAAACTCAAACTGTGCTGGTTAGTCCTCTTTAAAATGGTGTTTTGGGGGACATCACACACTGACAAATATGGGAGCAGTCGTTAAGTGCTCCACACAAGATGCAGACAGCTTAGTTTATGCTCCAGTAATTCACACTGTAGATGCAGGTCAGCAGATTATTTTTCAGAAGTCTGGACAAGATATCCCTTGCTTCTTTGATTGGCACTCCATCCTGAACACATCCAGTATCAGATTTCAAAAGCCAAACAAGGCTGGTGAATACTTATATGTAGAAATGAAATAAATAAATAAATAAATAAATTATGCTCCAGTAATTCACACTGTAGGTGCAGGTCAGCTGATTATTTTTCAGAAGTCTGGACAAGATATCCCTTGCTTCTTTGATTGGCACTCCATCCTGAACACATCCAGTATCAGATTTCAAAAGCCAAACAAGGCTGGTGAATACTTATATGGGAAACCACCAGGGAACACCGGAGGCCCTTGGGTAGGGCTAGGAAAGAGCTCTACCTGGAGAACGGCTGCCAGTCAGAGCTGGTGACCCTGCACTAAATGAGGCAAGGGTCCAACGCCGAAGGCAACTTCATGTTCCTCTCGAGGATTACTAGCCACATCCCTTAATCCCATTTAGAAGCACAATTCAACAAGTTTAATAGGATATGCCACTTTCACGTCCTAATGCAGATTAAAAGTCTCACAGCATTAAATACACCTTTAAAAAGAGGGGAGGGGGAGAAGAAAAGCAGGCTCATACAAGCCATTGTCTTCAGACTTATTTCACAGACGTTACACTCTGATGGTATTCATGAGCCGTCATTTAGGGTACTTCAAGGAGCAGCCACTTGCGAACTTTAACAAGAAATCAAAGGAAAGTATATTAAGAAATCCTTGTTTTTATGCTACAGGGTGGAGGAGACAGAAACCACAAAACCTCACTTGCAGGGAAGCAGGCAACCAGAGAAAATAAAGGGCACACTGCCTGTTTAGGTCCAGAGGTTCAGAGTTCAATTCCCCCACGGTCCTTCCTGGGAGGAGGGCCAGCCTGGGTGGCCTTGGGCCAGCTTCACACAGTCCCAGAGCTGCCCCAAAAAGACAGGAATGGGGAACCATTTTTTGAGTACAGTATTCTCTACCTGGAAGAAGACAGGAATGGGGAACCATTTTTTGAGTACAGTATTCTCTACCTGGAAAGGGCCACCGTAAGTCAAAATTGACTTGATTGGAACATACTTATTCTAATTATTTTATCCACAGCATTGATGTACTAAAGGAGAAACAGTGAGTGACCCAAAGGCCTGTTCACTTGGGTATTTTTCTCGTAAGCATCTCAGTTCCAAGAAAAGCTAAAATACCGATGGGAAAATGTGTTTTGCTATACAGAGCTAGGACACAGACGTGTAGGCAAGAGAATATTCTAAAAACAGGCAGCAGGATCTTGAAAGGAATGTTTTATTAGATGTTTATCCACTTTCAATAGCACAATTCAGCTGAGGCAGCAGCGATGGGAACAGAAATCTTGCAACAAAGATGTTAGAAATTTTTCTGTTAGGAAGAAAATTGTACTTTTCAATTATCTTTTAGGAAGTCTAGGATTTGTTACTTATAAGGCAAGTTTGCTGAAATCAGATTCCACTGCGTATTGGAAGCAATTGCCTTTTTTTGGGGGGGGGACTGGAAGCAGAAGGCATTCAAGAGCATCCCGTCACCCAAGAGCCTAAACCAGCAGGGAAAGGGGCTCCGCAATTCTCGTCCTCCCAATACATTACCAGTGACTGGCATGAAAACCTGCTCTTTAAACCAGAAGTACAAAGAAAGCCAAGATCACATGCAGCACGCGCACACACACACACAATGCCAAGGTGTTAGGAGTTGCAGTGGTAGTGCCAAGCCCCATTCTCCATACAGGTGTGTCAAATTCCAGAGCTCAAATTCTGCATCCGGCTTTGCTCAAGCTGACATTTCACGCAGAAGGTTTTCGGAGAACTGCCACCCGTCAAGTGACATTTCAGCAGCTCCCGTCATCAAGCGCTCAGTCAAGGTGAACAAAACAGATGCTTCTTTAAGCTACGAGAGAGAGAGAGAGAGAGACTCAATATGTTACAAGGACAAACCAAAGGGAATCAAGACAGATCAGTACCACAATCTACTGTTGATGCTGATTATGAGGGAACTCTATCAACAATATATAAGGGTGCAAAGACGGACCCCCGTATCTACAGGAGAGCCATTCAATGATCTACTATGAATACCTGAAACGGAAACCGTGGATAACGAATCTTGTGGATACAGGGCTCCTGCTTTATTTTAGTGAAAGCTTTTCAGTTTCTTTTGGGTTTTTTTTTTTTTACCTCTACTACCCATTGTCCTTTCGGTGCCTCCTTAAAGCCATCCTTACGCCAAGGCTGCTGTGACGGCCATAATTATCTTGCGCAGCTTGGTATCGTTGTCGACAAAGCCATCTCCGTTCTGTTGGGAACAAAACAGCCAAGGTCAGAAGCATGACTCTCCCAGCCCAACCTTTTTTGAACACCCTTTTGCCCTCCAGTTGAGATTAAGCTGGTCGTTTACCCAGAGGAACAGTTACCTTCCTGTCTAAATGGGCATAATTTCCTCCATGTTAATTATTGACAGGAAATCACACAAAACGTACGCAGGGCAGGGCCCTGCCATTCTTGGCAGCCTGTACCGTTTTAAGGCTACTGGGGAAAACGCACACCTTCTCCCTTCTGAGAGTCTCCCTGCCTATTAACTAAGGTGCCAAGGAGAAACAGCACAGTTCAACCTGGACTACTGGATCATAGTATGCAAATGGCATAGTATTATTTTAACGAGGGGAATGTTAAACATGGCCTCACCCACTTCAGCAACCTAAACTCTCATGGGAGAGAAGGACATACACATTACAGTGGTGCCTCGCATAGCGATCATTCTGCTGAGCGATGAAATCGCTTTGCGATGGACATTTTGCCATCGCAAGAGCGATCACTTTGCGATGGCCCCTATGGGAAAATTTCGCTTTGTGATGATCGCAGGGAACTACTGGATCAGTGCCCCGTTCAAATGGCATAATATTATTTTAATGAGGGGAATGTTAAACATGGCCTCACCCACTTCAGCAACCAAAACTCTCATGGGTGAGAAGGGGACACACATTATTTAAGCCTACCAAGGTGTGCATTTAAAAATAATAATTTTAGAACTGCACAACTGGAAGGGACCCAATGGATCACAAAGCCCCTTGCCAAGCAGGCCCCATGGAGGGAATCGAACACCCAACCTCTGGCTCTGCAGCTAGAAACCGAAGCCACCGCAAAGGGCCCATTTTCGCACAGCTGATTGGCGGTTGAAAAATGGCTGGCGGAAAACAAAATGGCCGCCCACTGTTTTGCCTCGCTTTAGAGGCACTGAAAATGGCTGCCCCTATGGAGGATCTTCGCTTTTTAGAACTGCACAACTGGAAGGGACCCGATGAATCACAAATCCCCTTGTCAAGCAGGCCCCGTGGGGGGGGGGGAAATCAAACACCCAACCGCTGGCTCTGCAGCTAGAAACCGAAACCACCGAGCTATCCAGCAGTTCCAGATCAATGCCCCTCAATCCCCCAGCTGTAGGATCCAGAACTCTTGTCCTTTCCGGATGCTGGCCTTTTTTCGACAGGAGAGTCGCTCACCTTCTTGGAGTGCACCAGCTTCCCTGCCACGGTGACTTCAAACCATCCTGTGACCTGAGGAGTCCCCTCACCACTCTGGGGAGAAAAGTGGGGGTGGGGGGGGCAAGGAAAGGAAGTCAACCCCGTGTTGCTATTTCTTGTTCGATTCAAGTACATAGCAGTTCCCTCTTCAAGCATATCCGGATCCTAACCATCAGAAGGTGAACTCTTTACCTAGGAGGGTTACCTTCCCCCCCCCCGGCTTCCTGCCATCATACATCCCTGGTGCCCCAACCATGTTAAGATGCTTTCCATGCACCACACACCCCTTCCCTTCATGGTGCAGTGGTTAAACTGCAGCCCTGCAGTTAAGACTCTGCTCACAGCTTGAGTTTGTTCCTGATGGGTTTCGGTCACCCGCTCAAGGTGGACTCAGCCTTTCCTCCTTCTGAGGCAGGTAAATGGGAGTACCCAGCTTGCCAGGGGAGGGTGGCTGAGCTTGGCAATACGTAGCTTGCGGAATTAAATTATAAACTGCCCAGAGGGTGCTTTAATCACTATGGGGTGGTACATAAAGCAGCACACTTTGCTTCCCCCCCCATCTCTCTGTATACTCCCAGAGGATTCCAGACATGCTAGAAACTGAGGCTCGCTCCTTTTGAGGATCTTAAGAGCCTCCCTAGATAGAGGAGAGCTGCTGACCTTCCCGGAGTGCAACAGCTTGAGTCCCCCCCCCCAAGAGTTCACGAGTGAAGAACCAATGAGCCCCTAACAATAACTACATCACAAGGTCTTCAGGGCTTTGGAAGAAAAAAAAAACCCAAAAGCCAAACTGTTCTTTAGAAAAGAAGTGTCACTCAGCTGTATATATAATATATTTTGCCTGCTGAAGGGCCTCGCTCCTTCCCCAATGAAGGGCATCCTGCATTCTATATTTAACCTCAGGAGTAAGTTAAATGTCAAATTCCTTCCCTCCAGCAGCACACTTGCTGGATCATGAATCCTTTGAGTAACAGGGACGAATCACTATCAAACAGATCTATACTTACAATGTCCAGCTTGCCCGGAAACTTCTTTTCGAGTTCCTTCTTGAGCTGCTGATACTATAAATGAAAAAAAAGAAGGAAGGAGGGGATCATTTCAAAGTCCAGAAACAACCAGGTGAGACTGGGAGGCTTCAGAGAAAGGTTCAGTGTGTCCTATGCATCGTTTTCTCTTTCGCTTCTCCCCCCCAACCCTTTTTTTTTCTAAAAAAAGGCCCTGTGATCAAGGCCCTCGTTGCCTACAGATAACTTGTCAGCCAAACAGTGCGGCTCAGCCCTTTATTGGGGTTCTGCGAACTGGGAGGTTGTGTTATTTTTTTGCTGTAAGTCAGGCAGGAGAATCAACTTACCTTGGGACTATAGCCTCAGGCGCCACTGCAAGAATAAAGAAACAGAAGGAAGTTAGCAAAAGGTAGGCTTTCCAATCATCAAGGGTTATGCTAGACCATTATTTTTGCACCAGAGCATGGGACAAGTTTATATCGCTGATTAATTCAATCCACCCGAAGTCTGTTTCCCTAAAGCCAGGTCTGGGGGAAACAAGCAGAGACATACACCCTGTGTGTTTCAGCTGTCAAGACCTCCTACAGGTACAGTACGAATTGGTTCCAACCCCTCTCCCTGTAAATTTGGAAAAATGCAGATTATAGCAAAGACTATTCTAATAGCGAAAGCTACATATACAGTGGGGTCTTGACTTGAGAACTTAATCCGTATTGGAAGGCGGTTCTCAAGTCAAAAAGTCTGTAGGTCAAGTCTCCATTGACCTACAGTGCATTGAAAACCGATTAATCCCGTAACAGGCCATTTTTGTTCCATTTTGGTTTTTTTCTGGTCTGTAAGTCAAATCTCAGTCTGCAAGTCAAACCAAAATTTTGCGGCCACAGAAGTCTGTAACTCAAAAAGTCTGTAAGTCAAGCCGTCTGTAAGTCAAGGGTCCACTGTACCATAGGTTCTAATAGTGAATGCTACATATACCATAGTCTCTTTCGCCCTCTAGTGGCCAGTTCTGCTCACCTCATCTTCAGAAATGGGTATTTCTAGGATTTTTCTTTTAATATTTTAAATATTTTCAGGCCAAGGATAAGTGAATCAGCAGATCCTTATCCTGCTGACAAGGGGGTCTTACCATAGCTAAAACGTCTCAAGCCTTATCCTGCTGACAAGGGGGGGTCTTACCATAGCTAAAACGTCTCAAACCACCATTCATCAAAGGAGGAAAATGGCTCCCACTGCCAGATGTGTTCCTCCCTTCCCACCTTTGATATTTCATGCCGTCAAATGGAGCCAAAAAATAATCATCAGAGAACGAGAGAAACGGTCCCATCCTGCTCTGGTGCCTATGAACATTTTAGAACAGCATTTTTCAGCTTCTCTGCCCTGCCTGACCAAACACAATTCATGCCTGTAATCTCCCCCAGATACTGGTCTGAAGTAGAACTGGCCACCGATGAACAAGAACATGCCAACTTTTGAGGATTTAGTAGCCTAGGGCATTGGGTGGACTTTTGATTTTTACCTGGATGGGACACACCAGCCAGCCAGAAAGAAGTCCAGACACATGGCAAAAACTGTAGGAAATTAAGCCAAGCCATGAAGCATCCATAGTCAATTCGTGTTGAACGAATTGGACAGAAGGAAACCCCCACAACAACAACAGAACAGATGAATTCGTTTCCAAAGCAGAGCCTGAAAAGTTACACTTTCGGATGATACCTCCTAGACCGTGCCAGCCAAATGCTATATCTGATTCAAACAGTAAAGCGTATAACTTCTCTGAGCAAATTTAGTTATAAAACTATAATAAAACGAAGGGAAAGTCAGATATAAAAACTGGAAAGCCAACATAAAAAATTAGCTTTACATATCTTTGCATGCAATTTGATTTGCTATCTGTCTACCAGCAGTGTTCCGTCAAGTCAATTCTAACTCATGGTGAACATTTTCAGTTTTCTACGTGCAAAGTACTCAGAAGTGGTTTCTCTCCTTCTGGCACCACCCTGGGACGGTGTGCAGCTGGCCCAAGTTATCTGTCTAATAGCAGTGTGCTGTCAAGTCAATTTTGACTCATGGTGAACATTTTCAGAGTTTTCTAAGTGCAAAGTATTCAGAAGTGGATTCTCTCCTTCTGGCGCCACCCTGGGACTGTGTGCAGCTGGCCCAAGGCCACCCAGGCTGGCTCTTCTCCCAGGAAGCCCAGTGGGGGAATCGAACCCCCAACCTCTGGCTCCACAGAGGTTCATGCAATTTGTTTGCCTTTGGCTGGGAGGCCTCTAGCACCAAAGGACTGATCTGTAGTTCCCCCAGGTGTAAAGGCGAGGGGCTGGATAGTTTTAGGATAAAGAATGGTCAGTGTCCGGTCCACAGCAACAGGATGTATAAAACAGTTTTCCTTATAGGCAACCCCCCAAAGTAGCTCTCCACTACAGAGTGGATAAGCAGAAAATAGACCCAAGTTGCAGAAGAAACTTCTCTAATTCTTATTTGCATTTGCAAATTCCCAACCTTTCGAATTATGGATTTAAAACAAGCAAAATTTTTGAAGAGGTTATAAGGCAACATTTTAAAAAAGGGCCTGGCCATTCTCTGTAGACAGCTGGCTCAAGCAACCAGCTCCCACTGACTTTTAAAAAGCTACACATATCAAAAAAAGAGGAAAGGTTGAAATTTTTAAGTTTAGAAGCTGCGTCATCTATTGGTCTATGGCCACGATCCCTCTCAGGCACACCTCAAGTGAGAAAATGTTCCCTGTGCCTAAGGAAGTCAGTTTTCATGCTTGAAAGCTTGTGCCACAAAACATCTGTTTGCTTTTAGATTTCCCCAGCCTTGCATGGGCTTGCAAGCCACAAACAAGGTGGGGCGTGCTCTCTCCGTGTGCTGGAGGGCCAGTTCTATCACGGCGCTAAGCAAGGCGCTAAGCAATCGTGTTAGGGGGGAAACAAAAATTGCACCTTGGAAGGATGGCAGAAAAAGGGATTTTTCTTTCTGGGACAAATTTGCTGTGAGACATACAGGCTCCTAGGCCAGGTATCTGTGGCGGGGGGGGGGGGGAATCAGCTGCATGTGTTGGAGGCCACATCGTCGTCGGGAGGGAGCTTAGAACCGAGCTTGTCATTTAAACAAGCAGGATGCAGGCGGCCTTCTTAACTGCATGCCAAGAGAAACGCATCCGTCTTTCAAGGCGCCTGGGAGAACCAAGGCGACCATCTTAACGCCTCCTCCAGCAAGATTCCCCCAGCGAAGAAATACCAATGCACGCCGACCCAGCTGACGTCGGTGTCCGTGTGCCAGCCTTCGGATCCTGCAAAACTCTTGGTCGTTTCGGGGACGAGTGGTCGCAATGACCAGACAGGCGGGGTATAAATAGAATAAATTAACAAATAAATGAAAAAGACGACACCAGAGTTCTTAAAAAGCCTCGAGCAAGGAAACAAAAGGGAAGAACGGCATTAAAAGGAGGCGCACGGCGATCCGGATCGAGAGTAACCCTCTTTCCTCTTACCAATAAACCACTCTGATTTTGACAGCCATGGTGCTGGCTGCGCGCTCCGATCCGGTCCGCAAAAAAGGCACTTGGAACGCCGAGGACGCGAACGTTCTAATTTGGAACGTTGCAACAAAGGGATGTTTTTAAAGCGACGTTCGGCCGGCACCACTTTGTGCAGGGGAGGGGGGAGTCGACGAAGGAACCCCCATTCTTTTTGTGGCCACGTTTTTTTTTCAAAAATCTAATATTAAATAAATGCACCGGAGGATACGGTCCGTGGTATCATCCACTCGACCTTATTCACGAAAATGAGGCACCCTGTGTCCTAGGAGGAGAAAACGGATCTCCCCCTTCTTGCTGTTATGGTATAGTCCAATTGCTGCGGATCACATGGCAGCTCCTCAGCCCCCCCCCTCCCCGCAGGTGGAGTGGCTTGCATAAAAGCTTCGTTTCCTAAAAGCAGAAAGGAAGGCAGTGGCAAGGGCAATTAGCATGTTAGACGCGTGATCGGCAATTAACAAAAGGTCTCCAGTTAACATGCTATTTTCCAGAAAATAAGCCCTAACCTGAAAATGAGATCTAATGTGATTTTTCAGGGTGCTCGTCATGTAAGCCCTACCCCCCAAAAATAAGCCCCAAGTGAAATCCTGCTCTCCACCCTTGTGCAGCAACCTGAAGAAGATGACAGGACTGTTTTTGAATCAATGTAGATTGTCGTACATGGAGTAAAAAATCCCCTGAAAATAAGCCCTAATGCGTGTTTTTGGAGCAAAAAATAATATAAGACCCTGTCCTATTTTTGGGAAAACATGGTATGTGCCTCGGACTTTATGCACGCATAGTAGTTAGGAGAGAAAGATAAAAGGAGGCCGGTAGAAACGTCTGAAACATGAGCTGCATGTATTTCAATAACCATGGTCCAGAACATGATAGAACCACCCCGCCCACCCCCAGTCATCAGGGGATACTTGTGCAAAAGTTTGCTGAAATAATGTCCATATTTACTGGAACAGTGGAATCACAGTGGGATGTTATTTTGCATAGTTCTACATCAAATGTGTGAATTATAGGGGAAGAGGCTATGATGTTTCAGACACAGCAGGAGAAAACAAGATGCATTAGGGGGGGGAAAAACAAAACCAACAACCCACAATGTTATGTGCTGCCAGGTCGGAACCAACTTTATGGTCTTCAAGTGTTTTCAGGAGAAAGACAAGGTAAAATATTTTAAAGAGAAATAAAGAAAGACGCTTTAACAAGGATTTCAAAGTGTGTTTAACAAATGCTTTCACCAGTTCCACCCCATCCCATAGTCGAACAGGGGTTCAAATCCTGGTTTCTGGAGTCCTAAACGGTCACTCTGTCCACTACATCACTGGGTATATACTGTATTTTTCTGTGTATAAGACACCCCCATGTATTAGACACCCCCACACACTTTTCTAAACCAAAATTAAGAAATTTATATTAGACACACACCCCCCCCACTTTTCTAAACCAAAATTAAGAAATCTAAGTGGGACTTAGCAAGTGTAGGGGGAAAGGGATCGAAGCGCTGCAGGATCGCTTTGATCCCTGCTTTCCCCTCCACTTGTTTTTGTTCTCTCCTTAGCTTGCTTCCGCGTATAAGACGACCCTCAATTTTTAGTCTGAAGATTTTAGACAAAAGTATAGTCTTATACACTGAAAAATACGGTATATCAGAAAAGACAGTACGGGTAGGAAAACCGGGAGGCCGTAGGAAAAGAGGAAGAGCTAACGTGAGATGGATTGACGCAATAAACAGAATCAGGGCTTTTAGACTGCAAGCTCAGAGTGCCATTGTTAACCATAGGAATTCTGGGAGGTAATGAATTTGTAGGGTCGCCATACGTTGGAAGTGACTTGACCGCGCATAGCATTTGTGGTGTTACCTTAGGCTTCTGACACCCTCCTTTTTGTTGACACAAGGCCGTTTCATGTTTTCCCGGCCATGTTCTCATTTGGGGGAATAATGTGTGCACGCTGAATGCCCCAAACTCACCTGGCGAAAAATCCCAGACAGGGCACCTTAAAGAGGATTACCAACAACCAGGAATTTCCTTAGAGGTTTTTAAACCGGGGCGGGTGGGTTTGCAACTGGTGGGGATGCTTTTAGCTGTCCGTTCCTTCTGGTAGCTCACCCTCCCGGAGAAGGAAAGTAAAAGATGAACTGAATTGTGGCTTCAGATGGACAGGAAAAGGTTTGGTCTGCCCTCTATGTTGTTATATGTCTCCAGGCCTATTCCAAACTGCTGTCCAAAGTAAAGCATCTTGAAAAGCTCAGTCAGTTGGCCTCTGGCTGCAGAGCCAGAGGTTGGGAGCTCAGCCAGCTTGGGTAGCCTTGGGCATACTGCACAGTCCCAGGTTGTGGTTTAGTCGTTTAGCGGTGTCCGACTCTTCGTGACCCCACGGACCAGAGCACGCCAGGCCCTCCTGTCTTCCACTGCCTCCCGGTCAGTTGGCCCTGTGGAGCCAGAGGTTCGGAGCTCAGCCAGCTTGGGTAGCAAACTGCACAGTCCCAGGTTGTTGTTTAGTCATTTAGCGGTGTCCGACTCTTCGTGACCCCACGGACCAGAGCACACCAGGCCCTCCTGTCTTCCACTGCCTCCCGGAGTTGGGCCAAATTCATGTTGGTAGCTCGCTACCCCCCCAAAAGAAGAGGCGAATGGAAAGCCACTTCTGAGTATTCTTTACATAGATCATCCCGAAAGGATTCACCCTAATTGATTTGATGGTGCACAATTATTATTATTCATAGTAGAGCTTGCTTCATGAAATGATCTTGATGTGGCTTTGTTGCGAACAGTTTCACGGATGTCACCCAATTGGTCAGCTGATTTATAGCAGCAAATTGACATTAAAACAGCACAACAAAGGGACTGTTTCAAACCAAGGCCTTTTTGCAGGCAATTGGTGACAATTCCACAATTCATAAATCAAGATTTCAGGGTGCGTCATTTTTCTAACAAGCAAGATCATGGGATTTTAAAAAACCCAGATACAGGTCATTATGTCCTGTACAGAAATCTATTTTTTTCTTTTATCTGTTTATATGTTATTAGCACCCTGCATTATGCAGGAAGGGAATCTCAAGCTAGCTGTAGCCAGAAAGGAAAATATTAGTTTCTATCTCCTCCTAGTGGAGTCACCGAAAATAACAACATTCCCATCCCATAGGAAATTGCACAGATTTATCTTCAGCAGATATGTATATAAGAAGTTAGAGAGGAAGTGATTTAATATTATTTTTAAAACTTTTTTAAACATTGTTTTTAAACTACTTGCATTTGGTTGAAGTAGGCTGAAGCTGGCTTGCTTTAGTCACATCATATGAAGGCAGGATTCTCTGGAAAAGACAATCAGGCTGGAAAAAGTGGAAAGGCAGCAGGAAAAGAGGAAGACCCAATACGAGGTAGACTGACTCTCTAAAAGAACCACAGGGTTGAGTTTGCAAGAGCTGAGCAGGGCTATTGAGGACAGGACATTTTGAAGATCGGTTGCCATAAGTCAGACACGATTTGATAGGCATAACAACAGCAAGGCTCCGGTCGATAAAATCGTCCGCCAAATAAACATTATTAGCCTTTACATTCTAGGAGTTAGTTTTTAAAAGCAACACTCCGAAATTCAGTTGAAGGTAACCTCATTCTGGACTTTGGAGAATCCCTTCTGGATGTCAGGAATAGCGTGGAGCTGGAATTAAAAGCAAATAAATAACCTATTAAAAAAACTATAAAAATTGTCGCAGTACGATATCTACTTACGCCAAACGAGGTATTGTTCTAGCTCTTGCATTTTGTTCCAAGAACTTTCAGCCTTATTTTTTAAAAGCCATTTCAGGGGATATAGGATTGCTGCTTTTCTAGTCTAGACGTAAGGAGGCCAGGTCTGCTTTCTACAGGTGGGGACGCAGTTGGCAAGCCGGACCACACTGATAAAGTAGCCTGTCCAGGGTGCATATTAGATTCTCCAGGGGCAGCGTGGCCCTGCCTGGAATGGGTTGAATCCTGCGCCTCTTGGATTGGAAGAACTCCCAGTAAACAGGGCTTCTATTTGTCTTGCAATTTCAGTTTGTTTGTCTCTGGACAAAGAATGAGCCCAGAACCGCCCATGAAGAAGGAATTCCTCTGCTCTTAAGGAAGCTTATGTGCCCTACCTTAAAGTTTTTGCTCTACCGTGCCCGGAATTTCCAAACCTAGGATTCTTTTCGTTGTAATAAAATGACTCCCAAAAAAGTAACTGTTCCAAGGTCTGCTTTGGTGAAGAATCTGTGACAAATTCACAGAATTTCTTGGAATATAGAGGGGGGGGGGTCTTTTGATTTTTATGCTCTTCTTGCAGAAAAGCTCGCAAGAAGATTCATAGTTATAGGACTTATATTCTAACTACAGGGATGGGCCATTTCTGCCACTCCCAATGTTATTAGAATATAATTCCTATGAGCACCAACCAACATTAATTCGTATTTTTACAGCCTAATGCAGAATATAATCTGGTTTGGTAGCTCAGTGGTTTAGTTGTGGAGCCAGAAGTTGGGAGTTCGATTCCCCCACTGGGCCTCCTGGAGAAAAAAGAGCCAGCCCGGGTAGCCTTGGGCCAGCAGAAAAAAGAGCCAGCCTGGGTAGCCTCGGGCCAGCTGCACACAGTCCCAGGGCTCCCCCTAGAGGAAGGGAACGGGAAACCACTTCTGAGTATGCCCTACCTAGAAAACACTGAGAAGGGTCACCATAAGTCATACTGAATTGACAGGACATGATTTTAGATCAGAATATGGATTTTTCTCAAGAAAGGCTCACTTCCCACCTGCCTTGTGAATCTCTACCCAGTAAAATTAACTTTTTTTTCACACTCAGAGGTACATTTCCTTGCGCGCTACGTGCTATACCACTCCGTGTCTCATGTCAGGGAAAGGTGTGATCACAGCAGATGAAAAGGCACCAGATTGAGCGAAGAAAAAGCCGTGTCTCGTGTCAGGGAAAAGTGTGATCACAGCAGATGAAAAGGCACCGGATTGAGCGAAGAAAAAGATGACCCTCCCCCCCCAGTCTATCCTGCGCTTTCAGAGTTTTCGGAAATAAAACTCTCCGTCGAAGCCGTTGGTCTTTATAGGTTTCGCCTCCCTGCTTGCTCAGCAAATCTGGGGGAGAAGACCTGTGCAGAAATGGAAGTGTCAGGGAAAAGTGTGATCACAGCAGATGAAAAGGCACCGGATTGAGCGAAGAAAAAGATGACCCTCCCCCCCCAGTCTATCCTGCGCTTTCAGAGTTTTCGGAAATAAAACTCTCCGTCGAAGCCGTTGGTCTTTATAGGTTTCGCCTCCCTGCTTGCTCAGCAAATCTGGGGGAGAAGACCTGTGCAGAAATGGAACTCCCTCGTCTATTCCCCAGATCCTTCACCGAATAGCGGTAAGGCTCACCTTGACCGCTAAGGGATGGCAAAAAAAACAGTAACCTCTCCAGGAACACCGAATGCTCAGCCTTTTAAGCCAAGCCAAGCCCGTGTCCTTGATCCGCAGTCTTGGGAGAGGAGCATCAAGAACCCATTGATGAGTAACAACAGAGGAGTGTTGTTCTACTTGACATGCCAAATTAGAAAGCAACACCCTCTCCTTAAAAGCTGTTCTGGCTCCAGGGGGAAAAACATAACAACATTTTCCCAATGAACTTTTTATGGGCCACATCCCAAACTCTGCCAAACCCATGTGACTCAACAAGTGACGGTCAAGAGTACAAAAAGAACTCAATTATTTATTGAATACAGATGGGAAAAAAGCTTGGAGGTATTTCTCTTTTGCCTACAAATCCCAACATTCCCCCTGGAATGGGCAGCTGGGATATTTTGAGTGTTGTAGACCCAAATATAATTTTTCTAAGCTCAGAAGGGTCCCGTTGACCGAGAGCCCCGTTAGGCTAGTAGCCAACTCGTGAGTGCAGAGTTTGCATTGAGAATTTTCCTCATTTAGCCCCTACTATTTTGATCGAAGAGACCCAACAATTAACCCTTTTCTGAGGTCTCTGCCATGTTTCCCCCCTGAACATGGGGAGTCTTCCTCTTTTGCGCTGGTTTCTTCAACGTCATCCGCCTCATCACAGCCATAAGATTTTAAAAGATAAAACTGCACCGTCCATGTACCGCAATGGCTGGATGCATGCTTACCTGTGAAAATATATGTCGTATCTCTGCACGGAGCGATGCCAGCATCACCTGGTCGGGGAAATCTCACCCACCGGCCCTTTTTTCCCCAAGACTGCTCTCAGACCACTTAACTGCTCCGATTCACTTGGACTGCCTTGCTTCTTCCTTGCCATTGCTGTTTGGTTGGGCCATTGAGGGGGGCGTCTCCTCCCCCACCTTCCACTCCACCTCTGCTGTAGGTGGAGTCCTTAATCCCTGATAAGGGGCAGGCTGGAAGATAAAAAGCCAAAAGAATGCCCCCATTAACTTCCAGTGCCCCTAATTAGAGAGTTGAAGTGGGAAGGGCCAGCAGGCCAACAGGCAAGCCAGGAGCAGGCAGACTTCCCAAGATAGTTGCAAAGGTGGCAACCTCCAGGTTGGCCCCATGGAAGATCTCAAGGGCTTTGCCATGGAGACTCTGGATGATTTTGCCCAGTATATGCCCGGGACTCACCACCAGCCCAGCTTGGGAGCCTCCAGATTCTCCATCGCTCACTGCCTCTCTCAGAATCCCATGCTGGGCTGCTATGCGGGAACCTACCCGGGTCCGGCGGAACTGCCCGCTTACCCGCAGGAGAACTTCAGGAACGGGATGGCCCCTGGGGAGTGGTATGCTTCCGGCGCCCCGGAGGGGGCCTACTCTTCCAGTAAGTGCAACTTGGGTTTTTTCTTTCCTTGGTGGGACGCCACGAAGCTCTGAGCACTCCGTGGAAGAAATGGCGTGATTTCCCTGTTGGCGGTCTTGTGGTCGTTGGGTCATCTTTAGGGTTGCGTCCAGAAGCAGGTTTTGCTACTCAGTGCAGGATATTTGCTTAGACAGAGGAGAGCAATTAGGGGCTGCAGTTAGAGATAAGAGAGGGTAAGAAGGATGACATTTGCAGTTATTGTACTCAGAACAATACATTACACGGAGCCTGTTGTTGAACAAGGGGAGGGCATACCTGCTTGCTTATCGCAGTAGGGTTTTGTGTGTATGTGTGTGTGTGTGTGTGTGTGTTTTAATTTACTTCCTGTAGTTTGCAAATAACATGCTTCGTTTTCTGCTTGGTCTTCGGAAACCCCAAACAAGCTTTGTTCACAAAACAGATTTCTCAGGCATGAAACGATTCCCGAACCACGTCTCTAGAACACGGCCGTGATTTTGGTTCTAAAGGGAGGCTGTTGTAACATATACTTAAGAACTGAGGCCACTGTGGTTTGTGAGGCTCATTTCATTCTGCATGACACAATTTGGTTTTGAAACTGGAATGATTTGTGGAGGGGGAAGCCCATGGAAGGAAAGTACATGGGAAACCCCCCCCCAGTACATTCACAAGCTTCAATCGTGAGGAAGGCTTCCTTTGTGATACCCGGATCAAGCCACTGTCTTTGCCCATCGTCTGGTAAAGCAGGGGCTAAAATCCAAATATTCATGGATGAGATGGCTTTCCCATTCCTTCAGCCTCCACCAAAGTTCTGGTCAACCATGGCTTTGGAAATCATTCAAGGAGCAAGACTGAACGCTTGGAGAGGTAGCCCAATGCCAGTGTGGTCTCCTTTAAATCTAGAGCTCTGAAAAGTTATGTACTGGATGATAACTCCAGTGGAACAGAGTAGGTGACCTCTTTTTAAATCTCCCTTGCCTTGTTTTCTACTCTCTCCCCCTGTTTTTACTTCCTAGTACAACTGAACCGGTGATTTACTTTCCAAGGGGATGGAATACACCTACTCCCTCTGATGTGTGGGGTCACAGCTCCTGCTACCTCCAACAAGCATCAGTTGTGATGCTGTTTGGGATGATGAGATTTGTGGTCTAACTCATCTGGATGCAGTTGAGTTGGAGAAAGCTACAGCAGAGATGAAGAGACAAAAGAAGTTGAGACCACAGTCTCACACAGAGAGATATAGCATCTCTAAACATTTTTCTGGCTTTGATTCTGCGTCCCGTTGCCAGGATGTGATAGAGGCAGAAACTCTGGTCACGTCAGCAGAATATTTATTAGAAGCGTTCGGTCATGTTGGCTCAGGGATTTTTAGAAGCTGCGGTCGGCAAAAAGTAACATTTGAAAACAGTGCATTGCTTTTAAGGACATGGATTGGACGCAGTGTTGTCCTTGTTGACAGCAGTGATGTGTGCGCAAAGAGCTTCAACGCACAACTCGGGACACAGTCTAGAGGTCCATCTGTATTTTGCTGCCCACAATCAGGAGCAAAATGTACCCATTCCCAGCCTTCCGTATCTTACCTCCCACCAATCACTCCGTCAAATAATTTGAGGTCTTCCAAGATGACCCCTGGTTCATGATACTGATCTCGTACAGATCAAACCAACAATTACATCCATCATTGGAAATAGCAATAACGTCGTTCGGCGTAACTTTTATGCTATGGTCAGTGTGAAATACTAGAATGTCAAATCAGGTGGCAGACATGGATCATCTGTGCTCGGCTGAACTGGCAGGAACCCACAGGCGTTGTCAGGGGACTGAATTCTTAGTTGCCATTCTTAGTGACTGTTCTTAAAATTCAGCTAGCCCCCCCGATGATTTTTGTGCATCTTTCCCACCTGACACCCTTGGGTGTTGACTGAGAAGCTTGACGTCCTTTTGCAACACTGCATTTCATGACATCCTGCTCTTTTTTTCCTCTCCCCCAGTCTCCAGGTACGTGGGAACTTCAGGATACAGTGTGCCCGGAACCCCGGACTGCCTGGGCTACCTCGGCGAGATGATCCGATCGCCCCCTTTCTTCCCAGGGAATGCGTCCAAACGCAAGAGGCGCGTCCTGTTCTCCCGGGCCCAGGTCCACGAACTGGAGAAGAGGTTTGAGCTGCAGAAATACCTGACCGCTCCAGAGCGGGAGCACCTGGCCGCCATCACCCGCCTCACTCCGAACCAGGTGAAGATCTGGTTCCAGAACCATCGCTACAAGATAAAGAAGCAAGCCAGGCAGCAGGAGGGGAAAGCCGGACAGCACCTCCGGCCGGGAGCTCCCCAGGCGTGCGACAGCAGCCTCGGGTCTTCCCAAGTGAGCAGCAGTTACGGCTTGGCCAGAGCGCCGATGGAGGAGAAGTTGACTCCTCAGAGCTTAGCTGCCAGTCCTTCTCCAAGGACCGAACCTCAGCCCCTCCTAAGGACTGCCGACAGCCACCTCCCGTCATGGTAGACCCAATCGGGTCTCCCCAAAGGAACAAAATCAGGTCCTTCGTTGCAATCAGCAGCCAAGCAAGATGGACACCCTCTGATGCAGGGGTGGCCCCCCAGGGTGGATTTCATTTCCCCGGCGCCTGACCTTCTTCCCCAATTAGCTTCCAAAAGAAGAAATCTTGTGCTTATGGCATCTGGTGGAAAAACGGCTTCAACCACCACCCCTAGACATCAAAAACATTGTCAAGATGCATGGGGGAGTTGTGAGCTTTGGGTTTTTTTTTTCAATGCACAGAAACAGGACCTCTGGTGCCGGCTGGATTTCTGCTTTGCTTTCCAGCGGTCCATCGACCCCAAGCCTCCTGTCTCCGGCTTAGACAAGCATGGGATGCGTCAAAGGACCTATTTAAGAGAAAGCCATTACAGTTGGATAACTCTCTGCTGTCAGTTAAGTCCCAGCTTGCACTTTTTGAACCTATTAAAATTTTATCATTTTATGAAACCGGCTAACAGCCGGTGGTAAGGGACCATCCTTCATACCCTCAAAGGTGAATCAAGTCAAACCGTTTCCCAGCCTTGTGAGCCCTTTACTTTATACCCAGCCTAGCAAAATGCTCGCAAAACTGTTCCCGAACAGTTCCTTCCGGGTTTCCCAAACAGAATCCCTAAAATCAGTCTTTTATCTTTCTTTAATCGTTATGGCTGAGGGCATCGCTTTTTGATGGTTCGTCTAGGGAAAGAGTCGAGGACAAAATGGAACACAGCTACTTATAGGCTGTGGGAATGTTATCGTAGATAATCACCCGGATATTGCCATTTGGCTTCTGCAGATGATAACCCCTTGACTCTTCCAGTCTTTGTAGGTGCCCAGAGCAAAGGAGTATTAAATATTTGATTTTCAGAATGCAAAAAAAAAAAGTCACCTGAACTAGGTCTCAAGAACAGGGGCCGTGGTCTAAAAGAGCATTAATTTATAAGACATATACATCAAGGAATGCAGGAGGTGACCCTGTGTATTGAAACATCCTGCCTGAATAGCAGTGTTTGGCTAGAAATATAAACAAGGCAGCTAGAAACGTAAGGAGCATCAACCAAGGGCATTAAATAATCTAACATGCTTTTCAAGCCATGTTTTGTAAGTCTGGTGGGGACAAGAGATCCTTTTAAAAAGGAACTTTTCTAGCTTTCCGCAGGAGTGACTTGCTAATGACAACCCCAGATTTTTCTGTTCAGTGTTTGGTTTACTCCAACCTCTCTCTCTCTGTTCTGTGCCATCAAGTCTGAACCAACATAGAGCAACCCTAATAGAGTTTTCAAAGTAAGTGAGATATTTAAGGAGTGGTTAGACCAGTTCCACACACACCCCGGTGAATTTCCATGGCCAGGTGGAGATTCGAACCCAGGTCTCTAGAGTCCTAGTCCGTCACTCTGTCCACTATTATGGCTCTGTTAAAAGGGAACCGCTAGCCAAAGGAATGAACGGCCACGTGTATGTATACCTCGTGTCGGAGAAAGTGAGCTGAGTTTAAGAACCTCTCTTGTGGGTGCCTTTCTCTCCCCGAAGAGATAGGAAAAGAAAGAAAATGCGTAGTGAGTTGGTTTTTTATTTGCATCTTGTGCTTGCTTCTAATGGCCTCAGGAAATGACCTTTCAAACTGCTGATTTTGATCAGGGAATTACAGAGCTGTTCCCAGAAAAGCGTTTCCTTGCTGCGAAAAGGCTTACGACAGCAAACGTTTGACTTCCATCAAGAATCTTATTTCCCGTTGCATTTTACCATTTGAAGTTATATTTTGTAAACTTATATTTGTACGCCGCTGTCAGTCATGGTATTATACGGTTGTCATTAGCGCCGCGGGAAAGGCCAGAGAATAAATTTGGAAGGGAACGTACGACCTTTGAAAGAAATCCCGCTAATGGCTGTACGCTCCTTCTCAGCCAAGATGTCAGTAAATTGTTACCGGTTGACCTCCGTGTTCTCCGTCTCTTCAATGGCAATGATTTTTGGCTTGCCTTGTGTCACAGTTATGAAGACGAGGGTCAATAAAGACTTTTAACCACCATGAACTGGGATTCAAATCATAAATTGAATTGTGGTGTATTTTTGAATCCCAGAGGGATTTCCAAGGCCTTGGATGTTACATTTGTCATTACCTTTCAGGTATTCTTGTATTTTCTGAACCCAAAAAGAAATTCCTCTCAGGTGAAGGAAATGTTGATTCTTAGCAGGTCTGCTGGTCTTGGGGAGAAATCAACATTTCTTTCATAGGGGAGGCCACTGGAATTCTTTTGGGGTTCAGAAAATATGACACAATACACACAAATGGCATTTGACTTTTTTGTGTGTGGGGGGGTGAGGAAGACAGCATTTTTATGTTACATCGCCTGGGACCCCAGTAGAAAAAAAGTATGTTGGTCCCAGGCAAGCTAATAGAAGAATATAAAATAATTATTGGCTCTGTTTTCACTTATTGACAAACTGTTCACAGCATCGTGACTGAAAATGGGTTTACAGGGTGGGGATGTCATAGAACACATATGATGTAGGTCTGATTCAGACCATCATCATCCTAGCTGGAAGGGACTCTATAGATTATAAGGTCCAGCCCCTGTCAAGGAGGCCCACTGGGCATTATAAGGTCCGCCCCTGTCAAGGAGGCCCACTGGGGAATCGAACCCCCAACTTATGAGACCTAAACCAGTGAGCCAACTTGCAGTGTGGATCCTGCAATTAAAAAGTAGCTCCGGGAGACCAAAATGTCATGCATCAAGGCTAATGTTCAGCATATGGCAAGAGTCGACCCTCTGATATCTAAGAATGGCACCAAGCTGGGCAAGGCAGGAGCTACGCAATTAGCTCTTCAAAAAGGCAAGAAGATAACGGACTTTGTAAATGCAATGTGTGCCATTTTTACCTTATATTTACTTACAAAAGGCACCTCTCTGCCTGTCAGCAGTTGGAAGGCGTATTTCACTAGGGACTAGTCCTATGGCAGCCACACTAAAAATGCAGGGATCTGAAATGGGTGACTTTCAGATTCTAGTTTGGGATATTTGTGTGTGTGTTTAGTCGTTTAGTCGTGTCCAACTCTTCGTGACCCCATGGAGCCTCAGCTTCGCTTTCAGATTCTAGTTTCGGATATTTACTTGGACACAATTTTATTAATTCGGCTGATTGGCAATCCCAGAAATGATGATTCAGGAGGAAAGAGGTCTTTGAAGTCAGATTTCCGGCCATTTCATCTAAAATTGCATCCATAAAGTATAATGAGGAATCAAGGACGAGAAGGGTTTGGAAGAACCATCATAAACCATTTATGTCCACTGGAAAGGGATGCATAGTTTTAATGTACACAGCAAAGTGTACAAGCTGGCAGTGCTTCCAACTGGTTCGTTTGGTTCCCTGGAAGAAACATAGAATTAATTATCTTTTGTTGGACGAGTGGGTGGATAGGAGAGTGTGCACTTCCTTTTGCTCATAAAGTATAATGAGGAATCAAGGATGAGAAGGGTCTGGAAGAACCATCATAAACCATTTCACGCTGCAGTCACAGTCCACTGGAAATGGATGCATAGTTTTAATGTACACAGCAAAGTGTACAAGCTGGCAGTGCTTCCAACTGGTTCGTTTGGTTCCCTGGAAGAAACATAGAATTAATTATCTTTTGTTGGACGAGTGGGTGGATAGGAGAGTGTGCACTTCCTTTTGCTGACTTCTCTGCATCTTCTCTTTTTTTTATTGCTTTCTAAACAGCAGATCAGCACAAGCTAATGCAGGGGTCTGGGGGGGAAATATGGAATATAAACAGTCTTTCAGTTAATTTGCAAGAGCAATAAACCCCAAACGCTATAGTTGCTGAAACAGGAAATGTTAAAGCTTTAACTTTTACGTTCACCATCCCAAATTCTGCTTGAATGCACAGTTGTTCCAGAGAGTAACAAAGCTGAACCATCAGTGGGTCTTAAAGCTAACTTTCCCCCTCAATTTCAACAGGAACCAAGGTTTTAATTCTGTGCTCACGTATGTGGGAGGAAATCTCACCAAGCCCAAGAGCGTCTACTTTCAAATGGACACGGGTAGAACGACTCTGTCAGTGCAGCACAGAAGTGGACAACTTGTGGGCCTTTAGATCTCAGAGGACAACATCTCCCATAATCTGGCCTTGTAACACAATGGTGAAGCTGCAGTACTGCAGTGAAGACGGTGCTCACAATCTGAGTTTTAATCCTGATAGGCTAGGGTAGACAGCTTGAGGTCAACCCAAGCTTCCTTTCTTCTGAGGGTCGATAAAATAAGTACCCATCTCATGGGGGGGGAGGGAAGTGTTCGTTGACAAATTACCATATTTTTTCACTCCCATAATCTGGCCCTATAACACAATGGTGAAACTGCAGTACTGCAGTCAAGACGCTGCTCACCATCTGAGTTTTAATCCTGATAGGTTCGGGTAGACAGCTTGAGGTCAACCCAAGCTTCCTTTCTTCTGAGGGTCGATAAAATAAGTACCCATCTCATGGGGGGGGAGGGAAGTGTTCGTTGACAAATTACCATATTTTTTCTGTATATAAGACACCCCCATGTATAAGACGCCCCCCCCACTTTTCTAATCCAAAATTGAGAAAAATAAGTGGGGCTTAGCAAGTGTAGGGGGAAAGGGATCAAAGCGCTGCAGGATCGCTTTGATCCCTGCTTCCCCCTCCACTTGTTTTTTAGACAAAAGTATAGTCTTATACGTGGAAAAATACAGTATGTGATAAACTGCCCAGAGAGTGCTGTAGCATTATGAGGTGGTATATAACTCAAAACAATCATGATCCCCATCATCCCTTGTGCTAGCTGGGACTGATGGCTTCTTATCAAAAAGGACAGGCTTATAGTAGTAGCCTTGCTCTTATCCAGTATGTCTCCCTTTCCCCAGCAAATGTAGAGATCCGACAGAATCACTGAAAAAAGAGTCATTGGGCCAAAGATACATTCATGAAGCGTTAACACCACTGGGGGAGACACTGATTAACAAACATTAATTTGCATATTGTTTGGGGTTGATACTGTGATGTTTGTCAAGTGCACAAGGACACACATAATTTTAAGTCCTGCTTCTTTACACAAAGGTGTAAAGCCATCTTGTCTGTAACTTGGAGAAGACTCGCGTTTACGACCCAATAAAAATCATACCAAACTAAGCACGATGGAGTCCCTGAAAGTTTTCTCAAAGTGACTGTAAGAGAGCTTTTTAATGTTCCCAT